AAAAAAAAAAAAAAAAGAATATTTACCTTCCTTCAAGCCATCTTTTTCAATAATAAGATTTCGGTAAGTAGGCTGATCTTCATCATTAGTTTTCTCAACAAATGCCTAATTGCATGTTAGATTCAAATAATAAAGTTAGAAAAACACTGTTTACCAACAAAATTAATTTTTTAAAAACTTAAAACAATACAATGAAGGATTACATTCTTTGTGAGACTTTTTTTTTTTTTTTTTTTTGTACTAAGAATTGAACTTAGAAACTTGCACTTGCCAGGTAGGTGCTTATGCCACTGAGCTATCTCCCTGGCCCAGGATTATATTCTTTAAATGCCTACGATTATTATTTACCATTAGAAGTAACTCTGCCTGCATTCCAAAGATCTTAGCTTTAAAATGGAAATTTATTTTGGACAAGCACACTAAAAATACTTTTAAATTGAGACAGAGTCTCACTATGCAGTGCAGGCTGGCCTTTAGCTCACTTTGTAGCCTAGGATGGTCTCAAACTCATAACCATTCTCCTGCCTCAGTCTCCTGAGTGCAGGGATTACAGGCATACACAACCACATCCAAGGACCTTCAGTTTTTCTTAAATGTCTTTTGGAGTGGGTAGCAGGCACTGAACTCCGGGTCTCACGCTTCTAGGTGGCCCTAAACCTTAATTTTTTTAATTTTACATTTCTTTCATATGTTTCTGAGGTTGATCCTTAAATTTAATGTTTGAAAAACATTATCTTTTCATTTCAAAACCAAGGTAGTAGTTTTCAAGGGCTTTAGTTACATAAAAGCTTATCAGTATTTACTCATAAATGAAAACAAGATCTTACATTGGTGAGTAATGTCTGCTTTGATGTTACATGAATAAGATGCAAGTTGCCATTTCTCTCCCCAACTAAAAGAAACTTCCCTTCATGACACAGGCCAACTACATCCACTTCAGTATCTGAAAATTTGAAATCAAAGGTACACACTTTACTTGCACATGTTTATTTTCAATACAAAAACAAAAAGTCACCAAAAAAGTCTACCACTTAGGCAATTTAGGAGTATTTCAAAAACATTGAAAAGTGTAAAAAAAAAAAAAATATTGCTGACATTAAGTCAAGTAATGTTTACTCAACACTTACTACATGCTGAGCATTGTTCCGGGACCTTTTCATATATGTGAGAATAATAAAAGATTCCCACTATCAGTGACCTCGAATTGGTACTTTTTTAAGACAGGGTCTTGCTGTGCAGTTCAGGCTGGCCTTGAATCCACTATGTACCCCAGGCTGGCCTCAAACTCACAGCGATTCTTTTGTTTCAGCCTGCCAAGTGCTGGGCCACCACACCTGACTTAGCAACCTCAAATTCTAAAGCAGAAACAAATGATAAAATGGTTATGGTAATAAGTGACGAGATGTGCGAAAAGGTAGTAAGTATTCTGGAAAAAATAAGAAGGCAGGGTAAGAAGAGACCTTGAAGAACATGCATTTTACAGTATTAATCAGAGCACTCGGGCAGACTTGAAGGAGCTGAGGAAGTAGCTGAAGGGATAAAACGGAAGAGGAGCTCCAGGCAGAGGGAGGGTCACCGAGTGGTGACAAGCCTGAGTGTGCACACAGCGGCAAGAAGATCCCAACGACTGAATGAGAGGAAAAGAAAGAGAGATAAAAGCAACAGTAGGCAGCTGATTTATGAACTAAAATTGCTGAGTAGGAATCATCTTTACCTACATCAGTTACAGCACATCACAGCCCTACTTCACTGGACAAGCCGTGAATCTTGCTCGCGGATTAGGATAGGAACACTAGTGCGTCTCCCACGAACATGGGCTTCTTGCCTCCATGCCAGAGCTGAGACTACGTTCTCAAGTGCACGCCTTTTGGTTCCTTCTGGGCTAAGCTCTTATACAAACATGACAACACGTATCATTTCCACAAAATTTCTACTCAAAAAATAAACAAAGACAGTTCACAGTATTTTCACCTGTGAGTACCATCACTGATTTGTTCCTAAATCACTCTTTAGTCCACGTCTACACACGTCAAGCTTTCTCTTGAATTCATAAATATTCCACATGACTTTTACAGTACCACATATTCTAAAGGTATTCATGTTTCTGTTGATGATATTGAAACTATGTACGAGATTCAGAAACTTGGGCATGATAGTGCACAACTGTAATTCCAGCACTCAAGAGACTGAGGCAGGAAAAATGTCCCAAGTTCAAGGCCAGCCTGGGCTACATAGTGAGGTCCTGTTTCAAAAAACAAAAAACTCAGGAATCTGAACACAAATGGGCTCAAAAATCCAATATTCTAATAAAAGCTGGCAAGTAAACTAAATTATTACTTTGTAAATATGTTCTGCATTAGATATGAGGGAAGAGATTCTCACAGTGTCCTTTCAATCTCAGTACGCTCCCTACCCCAAGAAAAACACACACAAGGCAGGTGTGGTGGCACACGCCCACAATCCCAGCACCCCAGGAGGTGGAGGCAAGAGAATTAAGTTTGAGAGCAGCCTAATTTAACAAGATCCTGCCTCAAAATAAAAATAAAATAAAATAAGCATTTTCTTGAACTATCTAAAGGGCTGGGGAGATAGTTCAGCGGTTTAAGTGCCTGCCTGGCAAGAGCAAGGTCCCAAGTTCAAAACCCGGCACCACAAAAATAAATAAAAATAGGGGCTGGTGAGACGGCTCAGTGGTCTAAAGCACCTACTTAGAACAAACTTAGCAAAGCACAGGGACCGCGGTTCAATCCCCCAGCACCACATGCCAGCCAGCCCGCCCCCTGGTGGGCTGAGCTGGCCACACACGCACATACACACACACACAAATAAATAAAAATTAAAATAAATAAATAAATAAATAAAAATAATGGAGAAAAGAAATGGCAGTATATTACAAATTGATAGCAAGATTTTTTTCTTCTGATGCATTTCATTATATCAGCCTTACCAAATATAAGATGCAGCTGAAGTGATTTACAAATACTGTCGAGCAGTATCACTGATTGGTCTGCTACAACTATAAACCCATCGCTCAAGCTACATGCTTGAATCTTTGGATTTAATGAGGCCTGTGGGAAAGAAATCAAGATCAGTATTTAAACATTTTTATACAAGTTTAACAATACTTATCCACAGTATCTTCAGGGTCCCAAATATTCAACTGTAATTTTTTTTGTTGTTGTTTTGAGACAGAGTCTCAATGCAGTTCAGGCTGGCTTTGAACTCATTATGTAGCCCTCTGTGGCCTCAAATTCACAGCAATCCTCCTGCCTCAGCTTCCCAAATGCTGGAATTACAGGTGTGCACCCCCACCCCCAGATCAATCTTAAAATTCAACCAGACAGGCCTTTTGTCCTCAGTCCTTGTATCTAACTAGTCATCATGTTTTTCAGTATATAGTTTATCTTAAGCTTACCCAGAGTTGTGAGGAGGGAAACAGTCCAGGATGGACAGGGAAATGCAAGGGATTCCCTTGTTTCCTAAAGGGTTGATCTTATGTTGCCAGAGCTAGGCATTAGCACAAAGGAGTGAACTGGCTCCGAGTCTGAGAGCCATGCTCCAGAGCGTGGTGGTGCTGAACTGGGGGCTGAGGGGTAGAAGGTGCCCCCACAGAACAGAACCTGCACAGAGCAGAATCTGCTCAACGCCAGCCATGAAAAGCCCCTGGGAAATGAAACACCATGGCCCTGACCCCCACACTTCCTAACTCAGCCAAGCAAGTGAGATTTGTGTGAAACATGCTTATTTTGTAGTATTGGGAGCAAACTCAGTATCGTTAAAAAATACTCGGTAAGCCAAATGTGAGTGACACCATTCAGTCTGTATTAGATCTTCACAGCTGAGAGAGCCTGCCCAGCTGAGTGATCCTGGGCAAATGCCTCAACAGCTTCCCTGTGAAGCAGAGGTGGTACCAACACCACCACCTCCAGTGCTCGAGTGTGTGGAAATCAAGTGAACTAGCTCACAAAAGGACCTGGAAGATAGCCCTTGAACAGGGCACATACTCAGCAAATAGTTTTCTGTTTTTGTTTTGTTTTGTTTTGTTTTGAAACAGGGTTTCACTACGTAGCCCAGATTGGCTTTGAACTTGCAGTGATCCTCCTGCCTCAGCCTCCCAAGTGCTAGGAATGCAGATACACGCCACCATACTCAGCCTACACTTAGTAAGTGTTAAGTGTTTTTATTCTTTCCTGACAAAATAAGCCAATTCTTTCAATTTATGACTTCTTCAAGGGTCACCTTCTTGATGTAAAATTCTTGAAAGTTCCATCACATTCAGACCCCTTTTCTACTTTTTCTACTGCTTCTTCAACTAATGGAAGGTTACACTGAAACTCCGCCAATAAGGGGCTGCGCACATAGCTCAGCAGCGTAAGCACCTGCCTGGCAAGTACTAGATACCACGTTAGATCCCCAGTACAAAAACCCCACCTCTGCCAATAGGGTCTGTGCTATCTGTAGGGATCTACCTCTCCTCCTCCTCCTCCTCCTCCTTTTTTTTTTTTTTTTTAAAAGTACTAGGGATTGATCTCAGGAGCTCACACTGAGCTACATCCCCAAGTTGGGGTTTTTATTTTTGAGTCAGAATCTTGCTCAGCTGCCCAGACTGATTTTCTTTCTTATTTTCTTTCTTTCTTTCTTTCTTTCTTTCTTTCTTTCTT